AAAAAAAAAACCATAGTACAGGTTTGTGTGACGTAGCAAAATTAGCTTGTTTTCCATGTAAATCATCGGAATGATCGATCGATGGAATATTGGTCACCATGGAGCCAATTCCTTCATCAATCAATGCTATTTCATCATATAATACCGGTCTTCTCCGTATACACGATTTCATCATCATTTTGATTCCTCATCGTAGTTACGGTCTTCTCGTTGCGGATCTCATGGTCTTATCCTAGGAACAGGGAATTCATTGCCATGGCTATGCCGGTCCTAGAAATAGCAAGATAGCTGGTCCGGGTTATTTCTATTCCAGTAATTGGAATATTACAGCCACGTTGCTGTAGTATGCTTCCTTACACCACAGTAGTGAATGCCGTAACCACCGGCATACCCGCTGCTAAATTCACGATGAATTAGCCTGTGTCCCTTTGTAAGGCCCCCCTTTACATCATAGGGAATTRAGATGCCATTCAGTGATCAGCTGCAATGGATTAGAGCTCTTGATTTAATTCCGGAATGATTTCCGAATCCGCATCGGAATAGTCTTCGGAAGAGTCTTCGGAATCGTAGTATCGTAGTATCGTAAAGACTTGGGTCTGATAAACTGTAAGAATCACGTGCAATAAGCAGTTAGTGTAGTGTTGATGTAACAGGTGAATACTCTGTAATATAAACTCGGAACTTAGCTAAGATAGTAATCATCATGGTATGAGGGCATGATAGGGTGTTTTAAATGTTAAAGAAAAGAATAAGTGTGATCAAGCAAACAGGTTGCTGTTTGCTGCATTTTCGATCGGCGATCGGTTCGGCGATAAGATCGGTACATTCGGCGATTCGTGAATCCAAAGATATGATTCAACCTAAGATTAACCTTAACCCTAATCGTTGAATCGTACGAATCTAAGATTCGATCTTGGGATACGGTTTAACTCTAACCTTAATCGTGATACTCGTACGATTCATTCATTCGTATCGTACGAGTGATTCAACTCAATCCACGAGTGATTTTCACACATACTGACCTACCTTATTATTGTGGAACGGAGGTAGTAGAATCTAATCCGTACGCGATGGATAATGGAATCGCGAATCGCACTTCGCCGACCGCGGACTGCGGACCTACGAGTACGGTACGTACCGTACTGTAACGATTCTTCCGGACAACGCTTAAATATCCCGACTACTCTGACTCACACAGATAAATGCTGAAATCCGTACACGTCATCGTCACCGCACGAGTAAGAAAAACTTTTGATCGTTCCAACAACTACGGTAGGGATAAAAAAACACTTCGGTGACATGACACAAAACATCCACACAATACCGATACGTACCGTACTTTTCCGTCGAGCCGCCATAAAGAAAAGCGTGGTACGGAACAAATCCACTACCCATCGGCGATCGATCGAATATACCATGAACGGGATCTCTCGCAAATCGATTGCATTCACAGGAGCCGTGCTGCTGGTCATCACTATCGCCCTACCCCTGGTCCTAGTGGTCCGTGCCAACGAAACCGGGAGCAACAGCTATCTCGCGTGGAACGGGAGCGAGACCGCCATGCGCATCGACGGCGGCGGCGAATCCGGTTGGGACGAAGAACAATGGTACGTCCAGGTCGATGGCGTCATGGGGGGGAAGTCATCGGGAGACCTTGAGTTCGTCGGGGTCGAGGATGCATCTGCGTCGACAGAAACAACAACGACGACAACGACGACGATGATGTCCTTCAAGGGTGACATCAATCTGGATGGGGGAGGGTTCTCCTCGGTTCGACGGAGGATAAACCTCGACCTGACCGGATTTTCGGGTGTGGTGGTTACCCTCGAAGCGTCGCCGGTTTCCTCGCCAATCGCTCCGCCCACCGGGCTCCACCTGCAGTTCGGGGACTCCTCGAGCTACTACGATTTTTCCTCGGCCTTGGCGGTTCCGCTCGGGGGCAGCGGGGGATCACCAACGCTGGCGAGCGTCTACCTCCCCCTGGAAACCTTTGACCGCGGAACGCGCTTTGGCTTTTCCTGCAACAACAACTGCGCGTTCGATCCGTCGAGGATCAATGGCATGAGCGTTTACGTCCTGTTCCAGGAGGGTGACTTCGACGTTCGCATCGCATCGATCGAGGCCGTCACCGAGCCCGTGTCCTTTTCCCCGCCGGTGGCCGCGGGCATCGACTCCCCGGGGGACGCAATCGAGCTCTTGAGGGCGACCGTCCGGAGCGGCGGCGGCCTCTACGACAAGTCGTACGTGGAACTCTGCGTCACGATGTACTGGTCCGTCCTGAACTCGCTGCTCCGGTTTCCGGCGGAGGAAGAAGGCTGGTCCCTCCCCGGTCCCGTCCGGGCCGTCATCTGCGAAGGCCTGGAGCGGGCCGAGCGCGAGCTTTTTCCCACCAAGAACGCCCCTTCCGACAAGGCGGCCGCCGCGTGGACGCTCCGGTACACGATCGACGCGGTTGTGGCGGACCTGAATGGATCGGAGCGGGTGTGGCCTTCCGACCGGGACTCGCTTCCGACCCCCCTGGAGGCGGAGGCGATGGAGGCGACGTGCGTGGGGCGGACCTCGCCCGCCCCGGGCCCACCCTACGATCCGCGGGCAACGGAAGGCGGGCCCGAGCTCGGGGGCGATAGTGATAGCGATACCGGTGGCTCCGAGAACGCTACCGCCACCGACGACCCATACGACGACGACGACGACGACGGGGACTCGCTCGGGGAAGCCACCGCGAACCTCACGGATTCCGGTGATTCTTTGGAGGCATCTGCGGCCACTGTGCGCAGCGGTGCGAATTATGCCACTAGCAGCAGCGCGGTTTCGCGGCATTCCCGGGCGATGCGGTCGGTGGCTCTGCTCGCATCCCCGCTGCTGGCCGTCCTCCTTTGTGCTGCCTAAACCGAAGACAAGACGCGGGAAACAATAGGAACGGGACGCATGGATGGAGCCACGAAACGATTGGAATGCAAGTGCGAATCGATGCATCCGCCCATCCCTAGCCTTTGTTTTACCGATTCCGGTATTCTTCTTGGTTGTCACTGCCAGCAGTACGTGTATAGTTCGTGTAATCCATAGCAATCAGATTTGTTTTTCAGATAGATCATGCACCTTGCAATCAACGGTTAAATTGTAGAACACGACTACGGGCTTCGCATACATGGAACGTGATTTTTCAACTTCCATTTCGAGTCCAGTTTCCGATTGCAAAGCCTTCTGCTCTACAGAGCTGACTTTCAACTCGGATTTTCAGAATCATTATTTTATTATTATACAAAGTGGTGGGTTTCAAACAATGATGAATACAAAGTCAGATGCTTTGTAAAACAACTGTGGACCCTCTCAAAAACTACCATAATGGAATATGGCAGTACTAGTAACAATAGTCTACTAGTATGGAGGTGAGATGGAACAAAGGAACAGGTACCGTACTGTTATCATGTTCTTCTACCATGGAAGTAACCACCACTCCTCTCAATCATCCCAACAGCAAGAAAATTCCTGATGCCATGGTGGAGGCCAGTTACCATCAAGGAAAAGAAGGACAAAACGAAGACGGAGGAAGACCAAAGCAATCCCCTCTCCAAGAAATTCTGCTAAGGTACGAGTACGTACTCGTTGCAGCTTTGAAATAGAACCCTTGATACGTACGGCATTGACTCCCTAGAAACGTACGGTACGGTAGGTATGTACGGTACCAACCATTTTGGTCGACATGAGTCCTTATTTCGTATTCACACCATGACGGAGGACAAACGCCTCGATCTTCTGTGCATTTTATTCTGGGCTTGCGATGGTGGGAATTTTTCGATCCTACCTGGTACGAGTAAGGTACCGTACGTACTGTACTACAGGGGTGACCCCTGCTGTACTATGGGAGCATCGTGTGGGTCGTTTTCCGTTGGTGTCCCGTGAGAGTTTTTTAGACAAAGGAGAGGGAAACCGGTGGTGGTCTCCGGGGCATAGTTCGAAACGGCTGTCCAACGGCTCGATTCGGGACCAACCGCGCCCCGATTCCGGCTGAACGGGTTCGGGTGCAGGGCGCGAAAAAGGGCGGAGGGAGAGCGAAACGATGGCCGGACGCCCACCCATAATTTCTGCCTCGGAATCGGGATTGCCGTTCCCCTAGTCCACAACGAAACCGAACGGGCCCGCTCTCCGTTCGGACCCCGCAGGAGCAAATCCACGCGTGAAGGAACCAAACCGCGAAGGTTCAAAACGATCTTAGGGAAGTGTGTTTCAGAAAAACAAAAATTCGATGCGTTCGCTCAAGCGGGCAAACATTCCTTCCTACCGTACGGTATGCGGGCTTCGCTGCTCCAAACGCAATCGCTGGCCATTCTTCCAATCCAAACCGCCGAAGGCTCCGGCAGAAAGCAACGAAAGAAAGCCCAGTACACCACACAACACAACTTGTCTTGTCTTGTCCTGCCACGTCTCGTTCCGTCCCGTCGCATCCCATCGCATCCCATCGCATCGCATCCCACCGCATCGAACCCCATCGCCGAGCCAGAGGCACAACACAACGCTGCAGCACGCAACGATCCGAACCGAACCGATCCGATCCGATTCGATTCGATTCCAAACACAACGCACCAAACACACGAGTATCGCTTGTTCACGATGAGACGCTGCCCCGCACCGGCCACCTTCCTCTTCCAGCTGTTCCTCCTGGTCGGATCGGCTGCAAGCCCCGCTTCCGCCGCCAGGATCCGCGGCGGCGGATCCTCGTCCCTCCCCTCCCCCGGGGAATCTCCCGAATCCCGGACCGGCCACTTGCCGCGGGGAAACCCCAAGCAGAAGCACCAGCGGCGGCGCCTCCCCAAAAAGGAAAAGGACGACAAAAAGGAAGCCGAGCCCGAAGAAGAGCAAGAATCGGCGGCCCCGTCGCCCATCCCCACCAAGGTCGGAGCACGCACCTCGCAGTTGCAGCAGCAACCACCACCAAACAAAGGGGACGAACCGTCCTCGCCCCTTGTGCTCCCCACGAAGGCTCCCGGCACCAACGCCGAGACCGGAAGCAGCCCAAAGCAGCAACCGCCGGCCCCTCCCAGCAAGAATACCGGGCCGATCGGACGCGCTTCGGCGAGGAAAGAAGGCGTCCGGAACGGGGTGGCCCGTCTCCCGCTGGCCCGGGGGATCGGCAGCCGCCCGAACGACGAAGGAGACAAGGACGACAAGTCCGGCGGGGGGGGACTCTTCGGCCGGGGCGTCCTCCACGACCGGGACCGGCCGGTAGCGAAAGACAAGGACCACGGCGTCAAACCGGAAGCGGCGGAAGCCCTCGCAACCAACAAGTACACGGAAAAAGACCGGGTGCCCATTCCCGTGGTCGAACCCAAGACCGGGACGGGCCTTCCCTTTGGTGGGGGCCGCGAAGCTTCCAAGAAGCCCGGGGATGACGCCGGCCTCGGCAAGAAACTGGGACCCTCCGCTCCGGCCAAGACCACACGGGCCGTGGGCAGCGCGGGGCCTCTCGGAACGAACACCGAGCCATCGAAAAAGAGCAAGAAGACATCGAAGAGCAACAAAAAGAAGAGCCGGGCCTCCAAGAAGGGAACCAAGCTGACCAAGCCGGTGTAACAAGCACCGTGCGATGGGACACACACGAACGATTCTACCATCGCAATCACCGTGCCAAAGCGTCCACGATCCGACCCTGTGCCGATCCTTTGCTTCGATATACAACTATTTTCAACGATTACTCTATAACACAACGCAGAAAACGTGTAAAATCGTCCCGGAGGCAATTTCTTCCAACTGTGGAAAGGCATTCGTCTTTTCGGTGTTCGCAACACAAATACAGAAGCGCCATGCCATCGTGTCGCACACTTGTTGTACTCTTGTTGCATTGCGGCCGCATCACGGCATTGCATTCCTGCGTTGCAGTCTAGTACAGTACTTTCTTTTTTGTTGTTGCAATGCATTCTATAGTTTACACCTCAATGGCCCCGTCGTCGTTCCCCGGCCCCCTTCCATCGACGGTTTGGTCGTTCGTCGTCTTCTCTCCGGGAGCGGTCGCCCCGGTCTTCTTCGTGGTAGTGGTCGTCCAGCTCCTCCGGGCGTCCATGGCGTCGTTGGCGAGCGCGTCCGCGACCTCGTTGTGGTTGCGGTAGACGTGCTCCAGGGCGATCTCGGGGGCGCACCCGAGCCGTCTTCGGCAGTCCCTCGAAAGGTCCTCGATCAGCGCAACCGCCCGGGAATGATAGGGCCTGAGCTTTGGGCTCTTGCACGCGTACTCGCCCCTGACCTGCTTGAGGATCAGGTCCGAATCGCCCTGGACGAGGAGCTCGACGGAGGCGAGCCGGTCGACCCGCTTCAGCGCTTCCGAAACGTATTCCAGCCCGGTCAAGAGACCCTGGTATTCCGCTTGGTTGTTGGTGAGCTCTCCCATCCCCAGATACGTCCGGATGTTTGCCCGTTCCTCGGCAAGGCTTTCCTTTGGTCTCGTCGTCTTTGGTGTTTTGCGTGCCCCCTTTGCTGCAGCGTTGTCGGGTTCCTCGCTTTGTGGTCCGGAGCGGGAATAGGATCGCGTGACAACGTAGGTTCCGGCTCCGGCGTGCCCGTGGGGATTCCCGCGAGATCCACCGTCGAACATGACGTGGAAGGACAGCTTGTGGGGTGGAGGAGTCCGGGCGAGGTTGTCGCCGTCGCTGTCGGGGTCGGAGTTGCAGCTGGAGCCGACGGTTCGTGATCCTTTCTCGAATTCGGTCGCGGGAGGGTCGGTCGCGGGGAGGGGCACCAGGGGCACGATGCTCCAGTCCGTACCGGCGGCGTCGGTGTGCTGCTCCGAGAAAAGAATCTTATCGATCTCGGCTTCGACGAATCTCTTGAGGGTGGGATCGGCTCGGACTTCCGAGCGCTCCATGTTTCGAGCAACGTATCCGGCAAAGGACGACGAGGGCTTGCCGAGGTTGTGCTTTTGCTTCTTTACGGAGGTCGCCTTCTCTGACACCAAAGCACCAACGGATCCCTGAGGTTTTCGATGCGTTTTTTCACCGGCGTTCGGGTTTTCTTTTTTCACAAAGGACTCGGCCTCCTCAACGGTGCCAAAGCTCTTGAACTTTGCGTTGGAAAATCCCTTGACCTGGGTCTGACACTCGGCCCAGGTCGTATAAATTCCTGGGATCCGACCGGAAGCGACGGCGTAGAACTTCGGACCGGCTTTTCGCTTCGGCATATTGTTTGTTCTGGCTTTGGGGTTTGCGTTTACGGCGGTGGTGGAAAACGATCGCAGGGTTCTGATTGCGGCGGTGTGTGTGCGGTTGCAAACAAACGACAGCGGCATTGCGCACTGTGCTGCAATGGTGGTACGGAGCAACAGGAGCAGCAGCAGCAGCAAGAACAGTGACTCGATGAAACAGAAACCGAATGTTCCTCTTTTCTGGTTGCTGTTACTGTGAGAAGAGCGACGGTCCATGTCACTATCCGGAACGAAACGGAACAGACCAAAAATCGTTTCGATTGTACTTTGCTCGATTTGATTCGCTGCACTGCTTCTTTGTGGTGTAATGAACGGGGGGAAAACTGTCACAAACCCCGGGTTGTACAAGCGGGATCCATCGATTGATTGTAACACCAACTAACTTTAAGGAATAAAGTTTAATTTAGCTAGAGCGGGACGACGTTGGTGGTGATCAACCAGCGATGTCTAAAAGTATCCGTGCGATCTTGATCGATGTCTTCGTTGTGTCGTTCCATATACCAGGACTATCAGTTTGTTTCGAAGAGATTTTTCAGTTGTCAGTTTTTCTGAACACGGTCGTACGGTAGCTCCGACAGAGACACCTGTTTTTGAATGGAGGAACGTGATTCACATGATTCAAACGACTGGGACGTTGCGAAACGACGCTTTCCCCGAAAAAAAAGCTATTGGGTGATTCCCGTTATTCTAGAATCTCTAGATTTGATAGACTGACAGACCAAAAATTTAGTGAAAATGACTCCAGATTTAGCACGTTTAGGATGGGTCAAATCGACCCGTCCTAAATACTCTACATTTAGAGAGGAATCCATGAATAAAATTTCAAGTCCGTTGAGGGACTCGTGGAAGACTCAACAGAAAGGCCCGCCAAAATTAAGACTGAATTCTAGAAAATTAAGACTCCGTGGTTGTTGTAAACACCAATAAGAGCAACAAGCAACAAGGCGCCTCCATTCACCATGGCGCATTTGTCAGTCGACCCATTTAAACAATATGTCCCATCAACAAGAATCAGTCTTTCTAGTCACTACATTCTTTTACCTCTCTTTGTTGCATCAAAGAGAGCAAGAGGAGGAGGAGGCCGGCGACTGCGAAGAGAGATCTCATTGTCCAATCCCCCGTGTTCTTTTCCTTAAGATGGATCAAAATGCCAACAACGCCAACAACAATGGCCGCAGAGCCAGTACAGTTAACTACTCTGAAGAAGAGCTAGAGAGCCTCATGGAGTTGATACTGGAGGTACTCCCCATTGATTCAGAACAGTGGAATATTGTTGTCACCAGACATGCCGTCAACTATCCCTTTGACAGAAGCAAGAAATCCATCAGAAACAAGTACAGTTCTGTTAAAAGAAGGAGAAGCTCTACAGGGAACCCCAACATGCCTAGATATGTGAAGCTTGCAAGGCGAGCCCATTTCTTGATTGGAAGGAACAAAGCAAATATTGGTACTGGAGAGGAGGACTTTTATATGAAGAATGGCTTTGAGAGGATCCCCTCTGCTGAAGTTTCCCATGGAAGATGGCCCATTCTTGCTGAAGATGGATCAACCGTTGGCTCGTCCATCGTTAGGCCCGCAAAAGTGCAGTCTTCTGGTACTCCGGGTAATAGATCCTATTCAAGAGTTCCGGATGCTACCATATTCAACGAGTATTTGAAGAGCCAGCAAGAAAGAGACAAAGAAAACCGTGAGATTGCTTTAGAGCATTCCAAGATTGCAAGGGAGGCAAGCCAAATTGCCAAAGAGACCAATGAGATGTGGAAGAACGCGCTCAGAATGGCAATGGCTTGCTTTCAGCAATGGCAAAACACAAACAACAATGCTGCTTACCAACCCGCCGACAGTTTTCCCAAACGCCCTCAAAATAATGGGGAATCCCATGATGTTGGAGAGAACGATGACTAACGCCATGGTCAACTATAATTGCAAACACTTACAATACTCGCAAACACTAATACTAATTCAACACTAATTCAAGGATCCAACTAAAGATAATGAACTGATCAGCAGCAGTACAAGTTTATCATCCGTATTCAGTATAACACGATGCAGCGCTAGATGATAGTACTGATTGTACTTATTCCTTCTTTCTTTCCTTCAATAGGTTTTTGTGTATACCCTATATCAGTTTTTCTGTATACCATTGCGGGATTAGAAACTGATCCTGCTAATTTAGAACATGGTTAATCCCACAAAACCGGATCAAACTGATTGTATCGGCATCCACATGCAGCCCAGATCGGCTTGCACATGGCCTGTATCATAAAGTTATCTTCATTGCAGAATAACAATGAACTCATATTCATTAAGGTATAAATCGATATCTATTGCTGCATTGGAGTGTATTAGGGAACGCATCCACAGGCTCCAGGGGGATAAACAAAAACTGCAACCACAAAACAGTACTAGCTAAGAGCAAGCAAACAGTGAGCTGTACAGTTTGCTGCTAATAAAGCTTGCTTGCTCCCCTTCCCTCCCCATACTTCATTTATTGGATACTGCTAACAGTATCCAACCACAGTAATTCAACAATGCTTAACAAAACCAACCATTGTACTCGTTTGACCATGGTGAGTAGTAGACGTGGTGTTCTACTATCAGTAAGTGCATTGTTGTGTGTGCTGTGTATCATTGTATTCGCATTTGCTAATTTATTTTGCTAATTACTGTTCCTGGTTGAGATACTGCTCTGGTCAATTGCTAATTTCTTGCTTGTTGTCATCGTTTATTAATCTTTGTTTCTTCCAGTAACCGATGGAACCAATTGACCATGGGATTTGACCTCAAAACAAGCCATTTGTGTCAGGGGAGAGCTCTCGGCCTACCTGGAAAAAGCCTTTTGTAAGATCAATTTTCTTGTAGGGTTGATCCACATCAGCCTCCATTGCTGCTGGTGTCTTCATGAACGTCGACAGGATCTGGTTGTGTCCTACATTACTGCATTGTTGGTAGTTGTACAGGTTGATCAACAAGCTCATGATGGCCTTCCTGTCTCCGTGCTCCTCCAAGAACATCCTGTCTTTGATTCTTGGAAACTGTCCCTGAATCATTCTCATCCCCCACTCAGACATCTGTCTAAAGGACGTTGCATCCCTATTGATAAGGAGTAGATCTTCCTGCCCAGGGTCACACTGTGAGCTTTTGATGAGGATATGCTCTCTTTCTTTCAAGGCAAAGGTGGAATGCACCACAACCTTTGCACTGGACTGGTCGTGGACCTCCTCAATCCTGTCATAGATGCCATGGTCCGCAATGGCGCTGTCATGCCACGCGCCTGGACAGTTGAAGACTACAATCCTAATTCTACCATCTGGTGCAAAGACAAACACACTGTTGACAAAGGTGTTCTCCTTCCAGGCATTGTAGAATGCTCTCTGTTTGCACCAGTCCTCAGAGGCTTCTATGGCACTCTTGAGTCCATCAGCAGCACCCCAAACACATTGTTCTCAAAGCCTTGGATAATTTTCTCCAATGGCCTTAACATAAGCATCCACTTCTTGCTCAGTTGGGACACTCACCATGGCCTCTGGATGGTTGTGAAGAGCAGCAAGCATCACTCTCCTTGAAAACTTGAGGCACTTGTACATCACTGTGGATGTCAACCCAAATGCTATTGCCATCAACCTTGCTAGTACAGATCCTCTTGTCCTGTACCAATACAGGACCAATCCAATAGTACAGACTGCACCAACCTCTCTCTTCTTCCCCTTGGGCTTTCCACTGGGGTAACAAGGAACCTCCACGATCTCATTGTTGTTGTTCACAGTAAACTTGTTGTATACTGGAGCAAAAACATCAACAAGCTTCCTGAAGAACTTGTGGTCTATACCACAGCAGTTGAGCAGTGCTTGATTGTCCCCTGAGTGGAAGAGATGGAGGAAGGGGGAATGAGCATATCTCCTGATTGCAATCCTAGGTGTTCTCCTATCCCTCCTTCGACGCTCCTCAGGAGAGAGCCTCTTCTTGTAACTTTGGTTATTCAGATGAATGTACCAGTACATTGTAATGACCTCAACTACTCCCATTGTGGCTTTGTTTCTTGCTAGGAGGAAACTGTTGTCTTTTAGTGTGTTTGTCAACTCCTTAGCAGAGACTAATACATGAACTCCTTTTCTGATATCGAAAATAATAAGCAGAAAATGCGTTTGTGTATTAGTCTATTAGTTAATGAGTTCATTTCTTATGGTCGACAATTTCATGTTTTCCTTTGTACCACCAAGAAGTGACGCGCATTTAAGTCTTTTTAGTCTTTACGTTGAAAAATACTAAGATTCCAAATTCCCTGAAAGACTGGCATTAAAGGCAGGCTGTCTCTCAGCCTGTCCGTTGAAATTCTGATTCCCGTTCTTATTCTAAAACTCTAACTTTAGAGTTTTAGAATAACGGGAATCACCCATTGGCTTGCTAATGCAAACAGTTTCTACGGTGCAAAAACCAGGTTATTGGTAGTAAGGTTGAAGTTATGCTCTGAAAAGAATGTAGTAGAAGGTTATCATCGAAAGCACTGTGGCTGTTTGCTGTTTCTGAAATAGGAATGGAAATCATTTATTCGTTGTGTATGCTGGGTGTTGTTGTTGTTGTTGTTGTTGTTTGTAAGTAGAAGAGGTGTTCTTACAAACACCAGACCACTGGTGGAAGTTCTAACTTGTCTTGTTCGAAGCACAACATAAATCCAATTGCTTGTGTAAGACCAAGTTGAAACCAACACATTTTCCAAAGATCTTSCCTGTAATTTGTGAACAGTTCTTGCATTAGCAATATTGTTGATTGGAAATTGATTTATCGAATTGCCTTGTGACTTGTTTGAGTTTGATGGGTAGTAATTCTTGATTCATATTCTTGCGGACATCAAAATTTTGCTGTTGCTGCCATGTTTTGAGGAGTTAAAGTGATCACTTTTTTAAAATCTCCTTCTTCAAGGACTACCTCCATCCATTTGACTTTCTCAGCATCTACACATTCTTGAACATAAAATCCATCAATGTTGATAATTTCAAATCTTGTTGGTACCCATTTTTCAGTTTGATTGACTTGTTAAATGTACAAATGGCTCCATTGGCTTTTTGACTTTTCAACATCTATGTTGTTGGTCATGACAGGTCTACCAGCATACAATTTAAGCATTTTCTCCCAATTCTTTGCAAAGTTGTTGTGTTGCTGTTGTTGCAGGAATGCCACTGGGTTCAAAAAGCTCCATCACATCAGTTACCAGTTAACACCATCTTGCTGTTTGTTGATTTGCTTAAGACAGAATCAAGGGGGGAAAGTGAGTTAAAACAAGCAAGGCATAAATCAATATCCTTGGCATTGGTTGATTTTTGTCATCAATGGATCCCCTATCAGCAGGCACCAGCAAGTTGATGCCCCCCCCTCTTATCAGGAGCAATGGAGAGTGGATGGGTAGGTGTTTCCCCTGTTAATGGAAGCAACAGAGACACAAGCAGTGGAAGCAATGGGGACACAAGCACTGGCAGGTCAATGGATCACCTGTGTCACAAAAAGTGATCACAACCTATCACATGCCTTAGCGTCCATTTCTTTGTGTTCTGTACCCCCCTTTTGCACGCTACACCCCTTCAATTCACATCCTAAACCTAACCAATGAGCCGGTAAAGTGTACCCAAAATGATTTAATTGCGGGAACATTGGGGACTGTTGAAGAATTCATTAGTTCATCAAACATAGTAGTAACACAGTTAGTCATGTAATTTCTCATCTGAAAGGTAGTGTAAATTTGAAACCATATAGTAGCGGAATCATTGTTTGAGAGTAATACTATTTACATGTGTAAATCTTGCTTTTCAATCCAAGAGTCGTGGTTGGAGGTTAGTGTCATCGTAACTGTTGAGGTTGTGTATCGCAACCCCCCAAAGTAAAAATATTGAGTGGTGGTTGAGCAAGTATGGGTTGAAATACCAGCAGAATGAATTTGGTGTGCAGATGTCATAAAAATAATCACAAAAATGGGGTCCTCAGTAAGCTTGATAATCATAACTTCACCATGTTCAGTGCTTGCGCAAAAACTCTATGCACAGGGTTGCAACCAAACCTTTCAAACACTTTTTGTGACATGTTAATGGAGGTGCCAGCCTCCCCAACCAGCACATAAGTCACTTGAGGCGCAAAGAAGGCTTGAAGCATCGGTCTTAGTCATTTGAAAAGAAAGAAGAGAATGAGAAGAGTGTGGACAAGAGGAAATTGGGAGGTTCAGTGAAATTGAGGGGGAAATTGCCATGTGAAAATAATATGGGGTTCATGTTTGCACCATGCGCACAGCACTTTTTTTCTCTTTGCATCAGGTCTCCAGCTCAAAAAATAATGAACCCAGCACATGAAAACTGCACGCACCCAAGCAGTTTTTTGCTTCCACTTGTCAACAGCATTGGCTGCATAGGAACCTTCTCAATAAGTATAATAAGAATATCATGATTAAGATCTCAGTCTTAGTAGCTTTCTATAGCAACCAGGCTGGGCTGGTGATCTTAAAATGACCAGTAGAACCCAAATGACAGTAAAATCACCACTTAGAGAGAGGGAGAGGCAATTCAACAAAAGTCTCTGCAGGGACAAATCATTTGGTAGAGAGGAGGCCATTTTATTTCAACTCACCAACAAAAGACATATTTGCATTACGCAGATAGTACTACTAGAATCTTGGGCTAATGAAATTTTGGCGGTCTTGTGCTTGGAAACAGGAGAGCAGTTGTGATTTTCCCCATCAATAGTACAGGAGAAGTTCTTATTGGCAAGGGATACTAATACAGCTGAGAGGTACTACCACTATGTCACCCCCTAGTACTACTACTACTACTAGTAGTAGTAGTAGGATGTAATGATCATGGATATAGTACTCCTAGTAGTAGTAGTACTACTAGTACTACTACTACTAGTAATCGTACTACTAGGTACTAGCCAGTAGGAGTGTGCAACAAATTTCCCTCCAAAACTAACCCCCCTCCCCCTCCTCACCACCACGGACCTATCTTCAGGATAATATGTGGGCAGAAAGGAGATGAGCTTAGTAGTGATAGCTCTCCCTTGAAGGTGCAATAGCTCCCTGGCACCTATGTTGGTGGCAGCGTTTGGTCACAACCTCTTTCGTCTGTCCGTCGCTCACCATTGGTAGCTTGAGGATGATTGGTACTGACTCAGTCACACGATGTCGAAAAATTAAGATGTTAATGTTGATCTTGCGCGCGTCGGGTGGGTCTTGTCGTACCTACGTATCTATCCAAACCCCACGAGAAAAACGAAAGGCTGACTCAGTCGGAGAATAAAATTACGTACCGTACAACAGCAAGGTAGTCGTAACCAAGTCCTACATACAAATACAGCCTGATGGAATCCCGGCTTGCCTTGCTGCCGAACTTCCACGGATGGACAAGAAGAAAGACGGATGACACAACGACCGTGTTTTCTTGTCCATCCATAGCCGTTAGTTGGCGATCTCGTTCACGCTTGGCTGGCCCCAAACGAAGGGACAAGCTTCGCGCAATCTGATGCAGTAGAAAACAATCCAATCCAATCCAATCCAATCCAACTCGATTCGATTCGATTCGATTCGATTGAATGATTGATTGAATTCTGTCCCGAGGAGGCCGTACAGGAATTTCATAATCTAGCGAATTAGAAGGTATAACCAAAAAAACAGATTCAAGATGGCTAAAAAGGCAAGCGAAAAGAAGGGGGCAAAGATCTTCAAGACCAAGTGCTCGCAGTGCCACACAGTCGAGCAGGGCGGGGCTCACAAGCAGGGACCCAACCTGTACGGATTCTATGAGAACACCTCTGGGTCGATGGAGGGTTATTCCTACTCGACCGCCAACAAAAAGGCTGGCGTCACCTGGACCGACGAGAATATCTTCAAGTATCTCGAGAACCCAAAGAAGTTCATGAAGGGCAACAAGATGGTCTTTGCAGGTCTCAAGAAGCCCCAAGATCGACATGACATCATTGCTTACCTCAAGAAGACTTGCAAGGCATAAATTTGATACTCAAAAACAGTAGCAAAAATGCGATAAAAATGGAAATTCTTTTCATCTTACCTCGTTCCTCATCAAATAAATCGACGAATATGGACGACGATCGAAACAAATAACAGGGTCTTAATAATTGAGGTGCTTAACCGTTGATGGAACGTTATCTGTCGATGAATGGAGGGATTCATGCCCTTGTTCATTCGGTCCGTCAGCGGTGCTGCGGTCGTGGAGAAAAAGCCCCTTCAATCGCTGCCAATGCATTGCTTTTGTGAGTGGATAGGAAACAAATTGGAAACACCTGTTCGTCCTCTCTGATTGCCACCTTCACATTCGATAGCAGTCAAATAAGAGAATGAAATGTATTGAGCACGATTAGTACAGTAGCTAGATGTAGCGTAAGAATCAAATCATATGTATGTCGTTATGATGCACCTTAATCGTATCTCTACCATGGATGATTTCCAAGGCTCTGACACATCTCTTCGCAAGGGGATTGTGTTTGAGATCAAGCGTATTCTTTGAGTTCACATTCATCACCAAAATTGAACAATTGAACCATTCAACCTATTCGAGCGTAACAAAATTCCATCTGGTCAAATTAGAATATTGAATATTTGCTTTGATCTCACTTGATATTGGGTCATACCCGTTAATCTAGATTGACTGAATTTGATAGACGGACGGACCAAAAAAAGTCGTCTAGATTGACTAAATCTAATCATTTTTCATCGAAGCCCAGACCCCCTTTCTAAAATGGCTCAAGCTATGTTTTTCCTCACTACTAGTACAGTAGGTAGTATTACTAACACCTAATTTTAGTCATCTTTGATGTACAGTACATTGTAGACTGGCTAGTAGTACTACTAGTACAACCAGTAGTTAAGATTCCAAATTCTCAAAAAGACTGCTGTCATTCTTTAGTAGCTGCTGGCAGTCTGTCCTTTTTCTGTTCATCTACTAGATTGACAGTCTAGTAGACATTTACTTCGAAGTAGTCAATCTAGATATACTGATAGACAGACAGACCAAAAAATGGGGAGTTCTAAATTGATTAAATCTAGTACGGTAGTAGTACTCCTTCCTCCATCCAACTATGACCATCTGTTGACTGTGACGTCCGATCCTGCTGTTTGAATATGATAGTCCCCTTATTTACTTAACACTCTTCAATATTTTAATTGAACCCCCAGTAAAATATGAATGTCAACAACAACAATGGCGACAGGGACATCGTCAACCCTTGAGTCAACAAGAACTCCTCTTGCTGATACTAAGAAGACTTGGTCAAACAGGGGAACACCCTAGTAGCCACAGGCTGATGCAAACTCTATGTTTACAGATTCTTCCTTAAGACCCTGAGGAAGAAGGAGACCTGGATGTTGGATCTGCAACTTCACAAGGAAGAAAAGGAGAAAAGGAGGAGAGGGTTGTTAGAACAGCAGAGGAGAGATGAGGAGACAAGGGACTGATGAGAGGATAAAAAAGACCAGACAACTCAAGAGATGTACAAGGGACTCAAGCACAAAAATAAGCTTTGAAATTGTCCATATATTGAGCTTATTTCAACTAAAGAGGTGTAAAGTGTACTATTATCTCCAGACAGAGGTAGTAATTAAGATTCCAAATTCTCAAAAAGACTGCCATTTAGACAGCAGTCTGTCCCCTCTCCATTTGTCTAGATTTACTTAACTAGTCAATCTAGATTAACATGAATGGCCCAATGGGTGATTCCTGTTAATCTAGATTGACTAGTTAAGACAATCTAGACAAATGGAAAAGGGACAGACTGCCTGCTCAATGCCAGTCTTTTTGGGCCTTTGGAATCTTAACTATCATGAAGGCTCAGCTACTCATTAAACTACTAGTGCTACTACTACAAGTAGTACTAGACAAAATTGAGGAAGGAAGAGGATCATAACAATGCCACTAGTAGTACTAGTAGTATTATCATTTACTGTATTACTATGCCCTAATGTAAAATGGAGGAACAACCAAGAAGCAAATATTGATTCCTAGCACAATTTCTGTGTTGCAGTAGCATTCTACTAGGAAATTGGATTCCAATGGGGAAGAAAGAAACACTATGTTTTCAATAATTCTGATTGATCTAATTAGCCAATCAGATTGCTTGAGTCCTACCAAATTGCAGTATTATCCCTAACTCTATATTGAAGACCGAAAACCAAATAAGATCCCCCCGAACACTTTGGCACACCCCTCTAATCTGAGTTATGGCCCCTGCAAACTGTTTCATATTCTTTCGCCGAAATTCGATGCCAAATCCGACCGTCACTTAGATTCCTTAGTGCTCCAACGGAGGTTTCGAAGCCATGCATGCGCGGAGGCGCATCATGGTCGATGACTTCTCAGCAGTTTATTCATGCTGTAAGCTCAGTTGTGCTTTCACTGAGTCCTGTATGACCATGTGCATGAGAGAGTGAGAGTCACTTCTGCTCTTCTGAAATCCTTCAAAAATTTTAGAAACGGAAGGCACCCCATTATTTACGCGCACCCTCTATCGCGCCTCTAACCTATTTGGGGTACTGTACCGGACTGTACGGTACATTCCTGAACGTCGCGTACTAATCGTACCGTACTTGAGCTCACTTTTTTACTTGTCCTCATTCCCTTACTCGTACTCGACAAGTACGAGTACCTGGTAGTATGGTCGTCATCAGTCATCAGTCTACGGTAGGTACGTACGGTAAGGTAGGATAACCTTAATTTACATTACGTACGAACCAGCACGTACGCACCATACCGTACACTGCCGATCCACTCACAAGATCTTTTCTACAGAACTTGACAATCGCTTTTACCAAGTCGTACCTATGTAAGCTGGTACGTACCGTGCGCTTCACAGTCACTTTTCCCTCCCTTCGGTGCCAATTCGCTTTAAAGAACAAATAATAGTAGACCAGTTGAATAGATCTCGAAAAATAGTTTAAAATTCGTATTTTGTATTTTCTTTTCTTTACTAACTAAATTCGATTCTTCAGTGCCTGAGGTATTGAATAAGACGATTATCGCATGCCATAGCGACATGAAACAGAATAACAGAGACGTGGAACAATACAGTGCATCTAATCGAAAAAATAGCGAAAACCCCTAAGTTTTTGGCAGAATCAAACAAACGTTCGTGGAAGGAACATACCCCTGAACTTAATCGAAGTCCGCATTCCGTTGAATTTCAATTTGTTTCATTTCCTTTCGTATCACTCTTGGATACGAGTGCGTTTTTTGGGAACGACCAAAACCATTCGATTCAATTTTTCTTTGGACCAATCCGAAAAATAAAATAGCACAAGGGTGGTGATGAGGATAACGAATGGTACTCTGCGATGTAGTAGCAGTAGGAGGGGTAATTTCATCCTCCTCTTTTTTGCGTTCTTGGTACAGAGTTCCTCGGATGCGTTGTTTTGCAACGCAGAGGTTCCGGTTGGATCGTACGGTACCGCATCCGAATCTTCGGACAGAAATAGCGGTATAGATGGCGGGTTGTGGAAGGTTCCGACGTTGAACTCCGAGTCCGGCCCTCAAGCAAACGAAATCTACTTGAATTATAGATGTCCAGTGGGGGATCTTTCGCCAGTAATGCTAGAGGAAGATACTGGAACGTACGTTCTCTTTCGCCAGTCACCGCATTCCAATGAAACGGAAGAAAATCTCGTTTTGATTGATGGTGGTGAAAAGCTGAATCGAAGCCGAGGCAACATCTATAGCGGTGACAATATTGACAGCAGTAAGGAAAAATTCGGGGCCGATGATAATAGCGTTTTGGATCACATTAGGGCTGGAACTCGAAGATATCTTCGGGGAGCTAAGATGTCTCGCGAAACCGAGAATCGTATCCTAGTCAGTACCCCTATATTTGTTGCATCTGGTTTCGTCGAAGAAGCACCCACCTCAGAGAATTCAATGCGTTTTCTCTCGACCTACAGAAAAAACAGCCTAGTTGCCGATCGAAGGGATCTGAGAGATGCCAAAAATTCTAATGATGAGACAAGTGCCGACCTCGAGAGCTACTCGACCTCCGAATTGCTCATGCTCCGCCCCTGTGGGTGTTTTGACGAATTCGGCACGTTTGGGGGGGTTTCAGAAGGCAGCGACTCGGACATAAATCAAATCGGTGACCCCCTGCTCACCTTCTGTCCCGCTTCTTCCGACTGGTGCGCGTACACCACTAGTTACGATACCGATGCATCTTCACGTTCCCCGAAGCTCGAGTGCTTTTCCATGGCTAAGGACGAGAGGGTCGCCMTCAACGCCTGGCCGCTGCTGTGGATCATGTACGCAGTCGTTCTGTGCTCCTTCTGCTGCTCATTCCAGGGACGGATCTTGCTTGACTTTGTCCGTGGCACCATCTTGTATTACGTCTGCGGCTGTGGAGACCGCTACCGGAACCGACAGATGCGGAATATCAATCGTTACAATCAATTCGTGGTCCAGGAAATACTAGATGAGGAACGGGTGGACCGCGAAAACGTTGTCCGCCATCGAACTAGGAACCAAAACGGGAACTGGATGAATTTCGACCCACCAAGAATTCCTCCCACGATCACGACATCTACCCATCATGAAGGATTGTCGCAAGACAATGACAACACGGAAGGAAGCAATCCCATCACGGAAGGAAGGGGGGACCACCCAGACGTTTCCATCGGCAACAACCGGTTGGTGACTTGGTGGAGGGGCGTGGTCTGGCCATGGCAAACCTCCTGGAACCGGTATATCAAATACAATCTGTTACTCCGGGTCGAATGGATGGCCATCCGGGACGAAATAGCCTTTATCGAATCTCGGCAAGAGCGGGGGTTGCCCCACGCCATTTACGAAATGAAAACCCGCAGATGGAGTTCTACAGAGGAGGATACTTCTCGATCCAGCTGCTGCAGGACCGGCAATGAATACGACCATTCGATCGATGCACCCCATTGCACGATTTGTTTCACAGAACTAGAGGATGGAGACCGCGTGGGGGACCTTGGGTGCATTCATGTCTTCCATGTCGACTGCCTCAAGATGTGGATCCAGAAACGCAATTCGTGCCCTCTCTGCAATATTCCCATAGCCAATCGGAGGAGGCTATCTAGTGAGGAACTGCTGGTGAAGAACAACAACAACGACAACAGGGGGGCACAAAATGAATCACCACAGGAGGGTCACAGGAACAACCATGGAAGAACGATCGAGGAAGGTTCGTTGGAAGCACAAGGGTCCAGCCTTTCTCCAACCATTCGCAACACGGACCACGGGTCACCTTCCAACCACCAGCGGCGATTATCGCACCTACCTGTAACGCCGTCTACCATCGCGGACGATGTTGATGCATATAGTACGTTTAGCGAGGAGATTGAAAGCGTTGTACAATTAGACGATGACGACGATGAATCAACCTTCGGCAGACGGACTCTTGAGATTGGTGAGGAAAGTGGGAACGGTGAAGCAGAGCAGACGACCGTTGCTGTGGAAAGCTCACTGTTAGCCGCAACAACACGATTGAGTGCCTCCTCTGCTGTTACCGAGGAAAATGAAGACAAAAACTCGATTATGTCCATAGAGGACGAATACTGCAACATTGACGATTTCCTCCTCTCGAAAGACAACCAGGGAAGAAGTGTCGCGTCCGACCACAGCGAAGCGGCGTCTTTTGCCTCATCAGCACGCGCCGAAAATAGCGTAGATGATGAAGTCGACCTTCCTTCCCCACCGCGCCACGTACGGAGACTGAGCTCGGAAGCTCCATCCTCATCTGTCATGTTGCCAAACCACCAGCGCCAATACTAGATCTTTGCAAACCTCCATGATTCAGTAAATTTACTTTGCAAACCTACCACCAGGGCGGAGGAGACAATATCAGGGTAGAACCAGAAGAGGAAGATACCTGTTTTTTTGCTCGCTTTTGGAGGTATGCTTGCCCTCTACGAATTATTTCTTCACCTGCTCAAGTTCACAAGGTGGTGCATAAAACGACAAATGGACTTTTGAGGATGAAAAAAATGTAACTGTTATTTTATCACATGACTTAAAAAAATATGTATGTGTTTAATAGTCATTTTCCTCTGTATCTTATTATTGTTCAAAGAAGCGCTGCATTTCTTGCGACAGAACTCTTCAACAGTCTTAGCTCTGCCTCTTTCTCTGACTGTTGTTTCAGTTTATTGAGGCCTTCTGATTTGTTTGCAGTTCCTGGTCTTCCTCCTCCCAATCCCTTTGCTGCAAGTTGTTCTACAAGGGATCCAGTAACAAAATTGTTTTCAATGTTTTCTGTTGTCACAGATGGACTCACACCAGTTGATGGGAGAGTGGTAATTGTGGCAGCAACCATAACAGGTTGATCCATCCATTCTTGATGGTGCTACAAAATCACAGCTTTATGGAATAGCCTGTACTTCCATGTCAATACCATAATATACTGCAGCTCTCAACATTTGCCCACCTTTAAGTTTGCTGGTGAAAATACCAATATATGCCAGCTCAACATCAGACGCTGTTTCAGTAGGAGCTGCTCAAGGTGATACAGATTGCATATCAGTTGGACTCTGGGTTCAAACATTATTAGTTAGACTCCTAGTTGGTGTCATTGTTGGTTCTTCATCAGCAGATGTTGTTGGAATTGAGGTTGGAAGACAGGTTGGAAGAACCATTGTGGGAGACTGTAGTAGGAGACAGTGTTGGGGTTCAGTTGAGAAAGGATTGGTTAACTTGGAGGTGTTCACATAGGTGGAATTTGTGTAGGCTGCATTCATTATTGGTGTCTCCACCATAAAAGCTTCAATTTTTGCCTCAGTTGGTGGCATTGTTGGTGCCTCTGTTGGTTCCTCAGTTGGTGCCTGGATTGGAACATCTGTTGGTACGTCCGTTGGTGCGTCCATTGGAATCTGTGTTGGAACCTGCCTTTGTGCCTGGGTTGGAGCATCTGTTGGAGCACCAATTGATGAATCAGTTGGTGAATCAGTTGGTTCATCAGTTGGTGGCTAGCAGGAGGGGGCGTTGATGGAGGTGTGGGTGGAGGAGATGCCAGTACAGGTTCCTAATTCAGAGGTGCAGCTCCAGGTGCAGGATTCAGAGGTGCATGTTCAGGTCCAGGTCCAGATTTGCTGAGATGTCTGTACTAGTCACTTTCCAGCATCTTTTCAATATGCAACTCATTTGAACTTGGAACAGCAATCCTTAGTTTCAAAGTTTTCAAGTCTTTCTTGATGTAGTACTAAGCACCTGTCGGCAACTTCAATATATTCTCCAGAGAGAGGACTTGCCCTTCTGATAAATGCATGAGAAATGCCAAAAAAGTTGCACACCATTGAGCCAACATTGAAGGATTGTGTTTCATCTTCCAGGATTTCAAAACATTACTTCACCTTGTGATCCTCATCTTTGAATATAGTATCCTTTGAATACAAAACAAGAAACAAGTCAGAGGGTTTCATTAACAAGCATCTTTGAGTTCTTCTGCTACAGCCTCCTCCTCAAAGACAAGTAGAAGCAAGTTGAAACAAGTTTTCTGTAATAAAATGGCAGCAAGGATAGCAAACCTGGCAGCATAGATTGCAATTGTGCTGAAATTTGCCATTGTGTAAGTACCTTTATATACAATTATTGTATTACTAGCTAGGAGTCTCTTGTAAAAAATTAATCCATGTCTGCTGCAAAGATACTTTGGTCTAAGTCAGTTCAATAGAAGTGAGAAGAGTGAAGAAGGAGGTGTGACAAAATCAAGAGTGAAATGATCATGTGAAAATAACACAGTGGACATATTTGCACCCTGTAAACAGCACATTTCTTCTCCTATTTTCCTCAAAGTTCTTCTTGTATGGTGGGCCCAAAATAATTTATCCAAAATGAAAACTGCTAGTACTACATGCAGAATTTTGCTTCCACTGATGACCCACCATGACTGCAAAGCATCCTTCTATCATGACCTACTCCTCAAATGGATTCTACTCAATAGACTTAGATTGTTGCACTATAAATATGGTCCAGTCTTTTATCCTTGTGCTTCCACTGGCAACCCACCATGACTGCACAGGAACCTTCTGAATAAGGAGCAGCACAATAACAAGTATGTCATGATAAAGCTCTCGTCCTTGGCTTCCCTCCCCCAAAGAAAGGAAATAAGATAGCTATTGAATTTTCACAATCATGATGTGATAAAGCCATGACATTGATTGTCCACCACTGTGATCATCTCAGAATCTGTCCTAACAGAAATAAGAAAGCTATCTAAGCGTGGCCAAGCACAGAAATATATGTTTTCGGGTATGTTGTCAGCAGTACTAGAGACATGAACCCGGCAAAAATATCTCTCACAGGCCCAGCTACCACGTTGACCGCAATAATTGATCCTACAGTAATTGATGAAGCTAAAATATTGGGTGATTCCCATAAACGCAGAATCGATGTAATTACATTTCATTTTCAGTCGTCCGTACATAAAAGTATGTATTTTCAACACAGATACACAGCTTTCTCCCTACTTCCAAAAGTTTGTATGCACACAGATTTTTGGAATCCTTGATTTGAAATTCTGATCACGAATACCACCAATAACTAGTGAGAACCAATCAAAAAAGTCAAATAAATTTCTGTATTCCAATTGAGGCACATGCAGCATGCCACAATTCAATACCTAGGATTCTATGTAGTTGCATACTTATTCCCAAGTACACAAATTCATAGAGTATGTCATCATAGATTCAATGTATAGGGGAATGCCCCATTATCACCATGGTCTCGCAGGTACTCTATTTTAGCGCATGGTGGTTAGCTCCCTTCCGTTGCTTTCTTCGGTTATTTCTTCTTTTTCTTTTTCTTCTTCTTCCTTTTCGGTTCTCCCTCTCCCCCCCGACCCGTTGCCATGTGCTGCTTTCGTTGCTTGGGTTTTTTGTTGCGGTTGTCGGTTATGATGATGTGGTTGGCACCGTATCGGGCCTTGATGGTCTTGCTTCCATCAGCGTGTTCCTCTAGGACTTCTTTCTTGGCTGTTCCGATTCGGTTCTCTGCCGATATCGGCCGGAGTTGCGATTGCCTCTTCGTCCCTTGCGGAGTTGCCGTGTTGTTGTCCGTTTTTGCGGCGGTTTTGTTGGTTCGGTTCGAGGCATCGGAGCTGGCGGCTGTTCCCGTTGTAGACGCTTGGAAGCTGCTGCCGGTGCCGCCCGCCACCGAGGACACCGTCGTCCCCCAGAGTTTTTCGGGCCGTATCGGAACCCCGTTGACCTCGGCCATGGCTTTTTCCACCCGGTATTGCATCGATTTCTTGACCGCCCTGAGCTCGAGGACGAAGCGATCCGATCCCATGCAGAGGGCCCCCGCGCTGTTGGCGACGAGCCGGATCTGGGCGTCGTCCGTGGCGACGACGAGCGACGACGTGGTTTTCCCGAGCGTCACGTTCTTGGCCGCCGCGCAGCGGCCCTCGATGTAGGTGTCGGCCTCGATCCCGCTCCCGGTGAAGACCGTCCGCACGGTCCCCGCCTTGCCAAAGGGCGCGGTCGTGGGCTGCTTTCCCAGCCCCAGCCCGTCGTTCTTGTTGCCGGGCCCGCTCCCGAGGGGCCCGGCAATCCCGCCCCTCCCGGCCCCGTCGAAGACGCACTCGATCCGCCACCGCCGGAGCGACGCCAAGCCCTCCAGGTCTTCCAGGAGCAATTCGCGGGCGTGCTGGACGTCCCCCCGAGCCATGTGTTTCTTCAGGCGGGCCCACTTGTAGATGACGTTGTAGCCGTCGACCAGAACAAGCGGATCGGCCTTGGTTTGGTTGAGGACGACGGACCAATCGGGATTCTGGCCCTTGCGCTGCCGCTCGAGGGCCTTCTGCTGGATGGTTTCCTCGTCGAGCTGCTTCCGGTAGGACGTCCGCTTGACGTTGTTCCCGGCGGTTCCGGGGCCCGCGGGGACAAAGTTTCCCTTCCGGGTCTGCCGAAAGCTCTGGCCCGTGGCGGCGGCCTCCCGGAGTTGCTTGTTGATTTTCCCGTAGCGGATCTGCCTCCGTATCGGCACGTTGATCTGGTTGGAGACGCGCTGCACCGGGATGGACGACGGCTGCGGCGAGGACGCGCCGGTTGCCCCGGACGATGTGGCCTTCTTCTTCCGGTTTTGCTTGTCCCCCTTGGATCCTCCCTTTTGCCCCATCCACAGCACCAGGCGGGGCGTTCTGCTTGCGCAAATCCTCTCGTCGTGGTGGCGAGCGACATGGTCGTTCCGAAACCGGGAGAAGAAATGGTGCCGGGAGGTTTGCGGGCTGTCCGTAGCAGAGCCACCAAAGAGGGTGTTGGAGTTCACCGTCTTGTGGTGGTGGTGGTGGTTGGCAACAAACAGACTTCCAAAGCCGTCGGCAACGAGAACCCCCCTATCCACAACGCCGATCCAAAGCGCGAACTGGAGGATGCAGAAGACCGCCAGGGAGGCCTTTCGCGTGGTTGCAATTGCAAGCGTGAACGGTGCCCGCGCACCTTGATTGGCATGTTCGTACCGAACCCGCCGGGCACTTGCTGCCTTTCTTTTCGCTGTTCTCGTCGTCGTCGTCGTCATCGTCGCTGTCCGGTTTCGATTCCAGTTCCGGTGGTCCTTGTCGTCGTCGCAGTCGTCGTCCGTGTTGTTCCCGTTGCCTCTCGAAGCATTCCTGCTCATTTTTTGCCCAATCATGGTTCAATGCCAGAGCGAAGGAGGCAGAGAGTTGAGCGTTAGTGCGTCTCTTGTGCTCCTTCTTCGGCTGTGGAAGAATGGAGCCAACACCGGATAGTACGGACATTGCTTTGTGTACCTCTCAGTGAGTCGAGAGGCGAGATCGTCACGATGTAACTGTACGTACCGGTACGCGTTGTTTCGGTACGAAAGTACTACTTTTACCGGTTCCTCATGGGAAAGCCGTGTTGCAATGATTAGAACTCTCAAACGTGGCAAAAATCTCACTAATGCGCGAAGAGAATTTAGTTATTCTTGCGCGCTTGGCAGTCTAAGATTCATACTTTTGGTACGTACTTCGTTGTAGGTATAAATCCAAAAGAAGCGTCCCTCTTGTTTGAGTCGAGCGGTACGAGTACAGAGTACGTACGTAACGATACGTACCGTTCGTACCGTAGACGAAATTCTGTTGAAGTACAACGTTGTACTACTACCGGTACGAACTACCAGAACATTACGTAGAAGCACTAAACGAACGGCACTTGCTTTTACTTCGTACAGAATCTGCCTTCGACTTTCATCGCGATCCAAGCAATCGATCAGTGGCAGGAAAATTCTGTACCGGTAGAGTAATTTTTATGCATCGGTACGTATGCGTATGGTACCCCTCAAATGCAACTAAAGTTGCACTCCCATTATTGGTGCGCCGGCTACGCCCAAATGTACTACATAGGCCCTAACCCCMCAATCGACCGGTACCATACTTGGTACCACTGTTTTTGCAACTGTAATGACTCTTTTGTGTGCAAAATTAACACGCGAAAACGGTACTGCACCTTTTCTTGGGGTTGTTGTTTCTTTGCCTCCGAGGTGCATTTTCATCCGTTGAATTTACACTGTATTGCAATATTTGCAACACAATCCATCGAACTGCTCAAGCAACTTGCTCATTATTTTTCCTTCCCGGTTAAAATCTGAGTTTCCGAGCAACTCCTACGTACAGTACAGCAGCAATAACTACGTAAGAAGAATGGCGGACAACAACAATAACATCGACAACGAGGACGAAACAAGAACAAGACACCGTGCCCAAGCAGCAAGACGCGTAGGAGGAGCAAGACAGCCACGCCGCAGACGTACTGGAGGCGGAGAAGCGAATGCGAATGAAGCGAATGGTGCGAATGAAGCGAATGAAGCAAATGCGAATGAAGCGAATGAAGGAGCGAATGAAGCGAATGATGGCGGAGGCTTATCAGAGCTTCTAGCGCTTATGGAAGAAGCGCAGGACGACGTCGTTCGTGGTGTGGAGGACGTTGTTGCGGAGGACGATGTCGTCGACGACGACGCGAGTGCCAGCACAACAGCGGAAAGACCAAGAAAAGGAACTGCTAGACGCCCATCGGGAGTGAATGTTTGTAATCAGTGGAAGAGATATCTCAAATATTTCCTTGATTTCATGGATTATGTGCATGGGAGGAGAGATGGTTATTATGACACTCCAAGGACT